AACCGAAACATGTCCTAGTCCCTTTTTTTGAGAATATGCCATGGAATATTATTACCAAAGGTTAAAATTGCGCTATACTCATCCAGTGAGCAAAGCAACAATATTAACTTGTCTAATTATATACTGTAAAGAGAACCAATGAATGGCATACAGCTTGGCTTTGATCTCTGATGTAATAGATCTGATCTCCCACGTTACCTTGCTTAGATTTTCTTGTACGGAGTCCACTGCCAATTTACTATCCGACAAAAACAGTACCACTTTAGTCCTTAATTCTTTTTATTCATATTCATTCAATCACAAAGTAAAATCCAAATGATAAACCACCAATTACAAAAAGGTGGTTTGGTATCCATTTTGCATTTTTGTCAATTTCCCATTCGCCTTTAGAAACCGACACACAATGACAAAATGCAATTATTCTGGTTTTATAGTTCCATTCTCTCCTTTTGAGTATGTTAATACTACCAAAATACCCTTACTATTACCCTTTAAAACACTATCATTTGAGGCAGTAACAATTGTTCTGGTGGAACCATGTCGAATTTAGGAAACTGTGTTGTATTTGTATGTGTCTAGTGATGGGATTGTTTATGGTCTTAATCATATATTAAAAATTTTAATCTTTAATTTATACGTACAAAAAAAATTTTAAAATTATTAACAAAATTGATAAAGTGGTAGACTGGTAGGTATAAGGAATTGTAGTCCGGAGTTATAAAGGTGGTTGGTGATGGTTATGTTACCAGTTGCAAATTTAATTAGGCATGCATTCAACGACACCTTCACCTAAAATGTGCAATTGTCTTATCGTGAGGGTGAAATAATACTAATTTATTGACTATTCTAATTTTCTAAGGTTTTTTTTTAATCACTTAAGTGCTTAGGTTTTTTTTTTTTTCAAAAAAATGTAAGAAAATTTGAATTTATTAAAATAAAGTTAGAGTTTAATTTAATAAACAATTTAGTAACTTTTATATTTTTTATCTGTTTCATCTATTGTTTTTAGATGTTTTCATATGTCCATCTATTACCTTTTACATTTATTTCAATTTAATATAATCTGTTAACTTTCTAATAGCAATTTTATTTCGTTTGGTCCAATTAATTTTCAACTATATTTTTTGTGAATTTTTACTTATTGAATTAATTTTGGAATGATAATAGGTTCTTTTTCACTATCTGATAAATTATAACTTTTATCACGTATTACTTCAGTTTTCTCTTTTAACAATTCTCTTTTATGGTAGAAATTACAATTATTGACTTGTTTTAATAATTTATACAATCTCTTGTGGACTACGTTACTAACTAGGATTACTTTATTTTAATTTTGATTTAACTTTTTTGTTATTTTTCTATTAAAACTAATAACAGTTTTGTACAATAAGTTATTCCAAAATATTTTACAAAATTTATAGATTATTTAGAAAAAATCTAACTTTTTAAACTAAAATAAAATTAGACTAATAATTAATAGATCAATAATTAATTGAATTAAGCCATAAAGTAAGAACAAAAATAAGTGACTTTCATTGTGTAATCTAACAATAAAGAAATGGCAAAAGCTTACTTTTAGCCTTTTATTTTATTAGATCTATAGATTTTAGCCCTTTACTTATAATATTGTATTAGTTATGTTAGTTAACTATTAACTTTATTAGCTAGTAAAAACTTATTTTCAACTAATAGACTTAACAGTCAATTAACATAATTATTCTGTTAACTGCCTGTTAATTCTATTAGTTGACTATTAGTTGGCAAAAACTTACTTTCAGCTAACAGAGTTAATAGTTGGTTAACAGCACTAACAAAATATTATAAAGTGAGGGATATTTTCTTCAATTCTAATAGGTGAGGGGCTAAAAGTGTCATAATACAAGGTAATGGGTTAAAATCTACAAATCTAATAACATAAAGAGCCAAAAGTAGGTTTTTGCCTAAAGAAACTTCTTGCCCTTCATTTTAGACCTCCAGTTTTTTTGTTTGGTTTTGTAGTCTAGTTAAATAAAAATAGTCATAATGCATGCCAAATTTGTAAGAAGCTAGGTACATTCTAGTGTCTAAAATTGGAATCTCTAATCAATTTTTATAGGCAAGGTTGTCAAGCTAGCCCCCAAAGCTAGGTTTTTTTAAATCAACATCTTATTGCAGTTGCATCAAAGTTCTCCTTAGATAAAGTTCATGTCAACCTAAGATGTGAACTTATTATAAAAAAATGTAAGATGTAAACGTAATGGTTGGCTTTTCACCTTACATGTGCAATACGAACGTAAGTGTGTGACATGAATTAAAAAGGATATTTGTTTGATTTGGGTACAAGATCTTCAACTAACCTTCTACCCATTTGTGTTTTCATTTCTAAAACTAGAAAACTATTGCCAACAATCCCTTAATAGTAAAAGAGAATTTTAATTATAAATATATAGGTAAGG